AGCAGCTCAAAAAAGAACAGAAAAGAAAAACAACCAAAAAAAAAAATCAAAGACTTGGGAAAACGATGTGGATTGCCTGTTGCTTCCCAAGTAATAATGAACGGACCTTGGACCCTGCCCCTTCCAACCAGAACTAGTTGGATGCTGCTTGGAAAAAATGAGCCATGGTAGCTCAATTTGCAGTGTCCAACTAGGGCACAGTGAGCACGCATTCACTTGGTCAGGCCTTTCTGACCTTCATCTGCTCTGGCGTTCACTAGGCACTTTTATAGCATCACTGTCCGAGCACTGGGGAGCAAGTAATGCCCCCATTTTGTAGATAAGGGCAACAGAGTGCAAAGAGGGGACCTGCTGTCTGTGTGGCCAGTGTAGAGGTGTCTGTACTACTGCAGGCAGAGCACATTTCCTTGAAGGCCTCAATGTTTTAGAAAGAATAACCATAGGCTTGGGTCAGTGGCCAAGGCTCAGCCAGGTTATTAGCTACAAAGCTACACTCGTGGCCAGTGGGCTGCAATGCATCAGCCCTTAGGTTGTGGTACGGTTCTGGCACAACTTGCATGTAGGGTTCCCCAGGCCAGCAGTTTTCTAACTTCTACAGGTCCCAGGATGCAGAGTCTGCCCTGTGTCCCTGGATCAAAACTGATCATCTTCATAGTGTCTCTGAGAATGACTTTTCACCATCTGCTGGAGGACAACCCCCTGCTCGACTCTGCTTGCTCCATTCAATTTTTACCTGAATGGGGCTCGTCTAAAATTGAGGCCCCGCTCTGCCCATGTCATTTTTTAAGCAGTGCCAAGAGGACAGAAACTGTTGGGTCCTTTGCTGCAAGGCAAGCTTCCCTCCGAGACAGCAATGGACAGACCTGTCTATAGCCCAAGGATAGGCAGCAGCACTGCAGTGCTTAATGTAATTATTGGGATGCCACAGCAGGAGAATTGAGGCAATTACTAATAGGGGAGAAAAGCCTGTTAAGAGACACTAGCTAAGCTCACAGAGAACTAAATGAGAGATTAATCCCTGGAAATGCTAGCCTACCCTATTTGCAGAAAGGGAGTCTCTACACCTCTCTCAGTACTGGGAGGACAGGAGCTGGCCCCTAGAAGAAGGGAAGCTTTGTCCTCGATGCATGAACATTTGCAACTGCCCTCTGGGTCAGGAGACTGCTCTATTTTTTCCTGCTCTCCGACTACGTTCAGAGTCTCTGGAGAGACCCTTTGTTTCCAGCCGGGAGACGCTGATGCAAAAGTCTCAGTGCTACAGGGGAGGAGAAAGCATACAAAGCGCTGGATAACCACCTCAAGCACCTGGCAGCTAGCAATACACTGCAGCCCTGACTTCCCCATCTTTGAGGGGCCCCTTGCAGCAGTTCCTGCAGAGTGGAGGTAGAGATGGTGGGGGCAGAATTTTGTGCTTCCAACATCTATTAGCCCATTTCACAGACTTAATTCCTGACATGCTTAGACGCAGCACTCCAATGCAGCACTAACCTAGCTGGGCAGTAAGCAAAGCACCACCTTACTGAGGCTGTGGTGAACAGGAGGGTTATTAGCTAGCAAGAAGGTACAATGGAAGGCTCCCAAGGTGGGCCAAGCAAAAACATTTGGCAGTAGTACTCAGAGGTGGAGAGGGGGAGTGTTCCAGAATCAGCCTTCACATGGGGCTATAAAGGCCAGGTAGCCAGAAGCTTAAATGCTGCATAAGCAGGAACGCCCTCCTCCACTGAGGTTCCACCATTGCAAGCACGTACTCCATCTCTCTGCCCAGCCAGCCATCCAGCACATGGAGGCCTTGGAAAGATGAGACAGTATGTCACTATTAAAAGGGTTAGGGTGGCAGTTTAACTAACCCAGCAGCTATATTTTAAAAGGAGTCATCTTCAAAAGAGGGCAGAGCAAAGGTCTTGATCTTTGCTGGTACTGAAGCTTTACCTCCATGGGGTACCAGTGCAGTTAAACCTCCCTGGTTTTGATCCAGTGCTTATTCAGACACCTCCCATGCCATGATATTCACCAGGGATCCCAGAGCATGTGGGCTACAATTCTCTCTTCTGTGAAAATGCTACAAGGGGAAGCAGTGCTGTTCCTGCCTGCAGGCACTGGAAGCCACGTGTGTCCATTACCTTCCAGGACTTGAGCCTCGTTTTGACCTGATTCCCAAAAAAGCTTTCTGGGCAAGCTTGTGGGCAGGAGCTCTGCTGAGCAGCTGCAGTCCAGCAGGCAGCTCTGCATGTCCTCAGAAGCACTTCCTATTCAAACACGAGATAAGCTAATGCAGCCTCCGTGCAGAAGCATCCTCATGATGCTTTTTGTTCTTGTACTTTTATCCGCCCAGGAAATCTCTGCTCAGAGGCAGCATGTTCAAACAGAGCCTTAAAAAACCTCCT